TTTTGATTTTTTTTCTATCAAAATTTACCACATTCAATTCTGCTTTCTCTCTTTTAAAATAACCAGTGTCATGGACAGTTCCCGGACCAAAGCCATAAGGCATGCTGGGGAGCTGAAGGCTATGAATCTATAAAGGAAACTCATCAAAACCAAGGGAAGATCCAGGGATGAATCCTTGGCGCATCAAGACAAGCACCAAAATGAATTAATACGTGAACACACAACCTGCGTGAGGTATGTGACACTGGGCATAGGAACCATCACAACAAATATGATATTAGACTGTAACAAAAAAAAAAAAAAACAAATATGATATTGGAATACTCATTGAGAAAAAGCTTGAAATAACCAAACCACTAACTTTAACCCAAAAAAGTACACTAACTTTTAAATAATGGTATCCTTCATTATAGCCTATTACTCCCCCACTGAAGCAAAAAACTGATAGGAAAAATTTCAATCATGTGAATCAACTAGGGGTTAGCATAAGCCCACACAAGCTTTTTATATTTAAAAATAAATTTACCACAGAAGTTACTAATGCCAAAATGCAAAACTTACTTTTCCATCCAACGTGGAAAACGTGGTCCACGGAAAGCTGGCCTCAGCTCCCAACCATGAATACCTTCAAGTATAGTTGCTTTCCCAGGTAGAAATGTCAGCAAGAGTGCCGAAATTCCATTGATCAGCCTCACAATATTGTTCAAAGACTCATAAGTAAATGTCTTCACTGACCTGAACTAAAAATCAAATGCAAACGTTCATGAGTTCATCCTCTAGCCACATGATTGAAAGCTGTTAAAAGTATATAATAAAAACTATTATGAGTTTTAACAGTTAAACCTTTTGAGTTGAGTTGGTCCTTGACATTATCTTAAAGTCTCTATAACCAAATGTTCGGTTATTTGATCATTAGCTCTCTCCATTTCTCTTAAGTAAATTTTCAACACAAAAAGTGGCGAGCTTGTACTTTATTCATTACTTCAAACCTAACAGATTTTCATTTGACAGAGCATGTTTCTCTTTACAAGTTAAGCTATTCTTATGCCTTCACTTTACAACTTAAGCTTTTGATGCTCTTAACAAAAACCATAAATAGGACCATGGCTTTAGAGCATCCGTGAATAAATAGATGGTGCAACATCAAATTAAGTCAAAAATATAATTTTCCAGAATTTCTTCAGACCAATTATTTTCGAATGATTGTAAACTCGAAGGCTCAATAAATGAGAACTGCAGCAAGTCGGTGGCTGCTTGAAATAATACTACAATAAACGAGAAAAAAATACAGCCAGATAATCTACAAGATCAAATCAACATAGCTATACATTGGAAAAAGGCACGTATATTTATTCCTCTTTTTTTTTTTTTCCTTTTTAAACATCATCAAGCTCCACTGTTCCTGGGACCAGATCAAATCAAGAAACCTACCTGAAAAAAGAAAGAAAGAAAAGAGAAGAAGAAGAAGAAGAAGAATTGAGCTGAATCTAACAGCTGATACCCATTAGACGGTGAAAGTAATATAGTAAACAACTCCTTCCCCAGAACCCATAAAATTACATTAATTCAGATTCAAAAAGAAAACTACAATGATCACGTCCGCCTAGACACGAAGCAAGAAAATACGGGCAGTAACCAATTATACAGACACTGGAAAAAGCAAAAATGCAATCTAGGGATCGAATGATTTTCGCAACAACGCCGATAGCGTAACTATATAACAAGAAGAAGCAAAAGGAACACCCTTTCAATTAAGGTAAATATATCAAGTATAATGATATAAATTCGCAACTACATCGCTACAAAAAACAGTAACAAGGCCTTCCTCTTTAGTGACAGTCAATTAAGCGACAAATCATCAAGTTTCATGACATAGATTCCAAAACCCATATTGATTAAAACACGGCCTTACTCTTTAATGACAGCGAGGACGGTGTCAACCAACCGTTGCATCATACGCTATAAAATTCCAGGCCGTCCCGTATTCCAATCAAATCACCCGAAGATGAAACAGAAAATCCAATAAGAAGTTCAAAATACAAATCTGCCTCAACGAAACCAAGAGAGAGAAGTTCGAGATCGGGAACCCGTAATTTGAGAAAGGAGCAGAGGGCAAGTTATGATCCATGTCTTCGAGTGTGGGAAACCATAAATGAATCAAGCCTTGGAGTTCCACGTGGAAGGCATTGACTGGCCAAGCTGCTACGTGTCGCTGTCTAGTCATTTTATCGTGCATTTTGATTACACGTAAGCGTCACTTGAAGCACGGAGAATTATTAAATATCTATTAGATGAATGCTGCTATTCATGGCTTGTGGCAGATATGATATTCATTATTGATGATTATTATTCTCTTCTGAAGCTGTAGAAGAATCTGTGGGAGATGAGAGAAGATGAACGTTTCAGATTGGAAGTCGCAAAATCTGTAATTATTATTTATAAAAAAATCTGTAATTATTATTAATATTTTTATAGAATCTTTAATTATCATTTTCCGACCATAAAGTGAAATAAAATCTTTGGAGACCACAGAAGAGAATCCAAAGTTGAGTTGAAATGGAGTTCAAGACAACTTAGGAAAATGCTTCTTTTTGTGGGATGAAGCTTGTGATCCACGGAATGCATGAAAGTCGGTATCCACAATCAATCTCCATTTTTCTGGAAGCGAATCTTCTCGACTCGTGAGCAACTCATCGCCACGTCCATTGAGGTTTGAGGGTTTACTCCAGTTACTCCATCGGCTCTTGTTTACACAGCTGAGATATAAGAAATTCAAAAAAAAATTAATTATTTGATTCTTATAATTTTAATTTAGTTGTAACTAAATATCTAAATTTTGATTTATTATAATTTAATTTTTAAAGTTTTGACTCAATTATAAATTAGTCATTGAACTTTATCTCTTACAAATTAATTCATAAAATTTTAACTTCTTAAATATCGATCCCTATATTTAAAAAATAAAATTATAAAGATTTAAAATATTTTAAAATTTATTTCTAATATTTTAAATCATTAAACCCTTTATAATATTTATAAATATTAAAAATTTTGAATATTTTAATCCTTATTATTTTATTTTTTAAAATATAGGAATTAATATTTAAGATGTTAAAATTTTAGGAACAAAATTACAAGAAGTAAAGTTCAAAAACTGATTTATAATTGAATCAAAACTTTAGGAATTGAATTATAATGAGTTAAAATTAGGAATTAAGTTACAACTAAATCAAGATTACGAGGACCAAATGACTAATTTTTTCTTTCTTTATTTATATATAGAATAGAATGTCATTAATTTTTTTACATTAAATATTAAATATTAATTGAAAACATCCTCCTGCATTATTAAATGTATATTTAATAAGAATAAAGTTAAAATCTTATTAAATTAAAAGAGTTAATGAGTTAAATGAAATAATTAACTTTTTTTTTAACATAAGGAGGAGGCTCTGTCAAGAATAGAGAATACCTTTTAAGGTAAGAAGAGTAATAAGTAGATTTTTTTAAACTAAATTACTATACACACAATAATTAAAGTTTAAATCTACAACCACTTGTTTTTTTTTTTTTATAAAAGCTACAACTACTTATTTAACTAATAGAAGTCTCTACCACTTACATCAATTTTAATTGGTTAGAACTTGAAATAATAGACTTATATTAGCCTATTAAATGCTTGTTTGGATATTTTCATAATCAATTTTAAAAGTAAAAATCATGATTTTATATGAATATATTTAAACACTTTTATTGCTTGTCCAAATTAATTATAAATCTACTATCATGTTTTTTAAAATACACCAAAATTAATCATAAACTCAAAATTATTATTTATAAAATACAGGTCATATAATTTTTGAATAATTTTTTAAGAATGAATAACTGAAAAGCTAAATTAAAAAGTAAATAATAGTATTCATAATTGAAATTTTTTTTTTGTAGGCATAACTAGGCTTCATCGACAGCAAAAAATACCACACACGTCAATATTAATTGGTCATATATATATAAATGTTTGGATATTTCTAAAATATCATGGTTTTACATTCATAATTTGACATATAAAAAAAATGGATCTTTGTATATTTTTTAATAAAATTATGACTTTAGATTAATAATTAATTTATTCTATAAAATAATTGTTTGGATATATTTTCCCAAATCCATGATTTTACCTAATTTTTAATTATACTCAAAATCAATTTTATAAATAAACTAACACGGAATTGAATTTTCCAACTCAAATCCAAAAATGCCCTAAATGTTGCCTGGGACCCATCTAAAAAACACGAGTGCGATGGGATTCATTATATTGGTTTTATTTTTTATTTTTTGGAATATGAGATCATCTGCTTCACTTTTACAACTAATATGGAAAATTTTAAAAATTTTATTAATTTTCAAACAGAATTAATACATTTTCAACCCCTTACTGCTTCCAATAAAAGTGCTAGAAATATTTTATAAATAGGAATGAACGAAATATATAATGTATGAACATAGCAAACAATCAAAAGATCAAACCAAGGGCATCTCCAACACCTATATTTTTTCCTCCAAGGCACCACAGAGAGCTTGTTTGCTGATAATGAGATACTAATAAAGCTTGTTAATGAAGGCTTTGTTTTGCTTTCCCTTGATCCTTCATAATTTTTTTTTGTTTTGGTTTCCTTCAAGCCTACCTGCTTCCTTTCCTTTGAAAATGTTATCCCTAGCCACAAAGGGTTTCTTTGGGATACAACATGAATAGAAAGAATACCCACATGGCCAATCTTAAAAAAACCTGATTAAATAACTACAGAAGACTACCTACATGGCCAATCTTGTATTCTGGTTCACCAAAGCACATTGCTTTATCTCTCAAGAAAAATATAAAACCTCTTCTCCATCGAGGAATTTTGACAGCAGGCCAGTCATGGTCGGGGCTAATAATGGATCATACAATATGCATTGCAATAGAAAGTGCTGAAAAAATCAAATTAACTATTTTTCAAAGAGAGACAAAAAATCTATGGCTATCAATACCTTGATTGCTATAGACACAAACTTCAGTATAATTTGTAACTGCTTACTGTCAAGTTCTATTTCTTCAAATGAAAACATGTTTGGACGTCCTTCGCAACTCTGTATGATTGAGTCTTTAAAGAAATATCATCTCAGATGCTATATTTTTACTGAAAAACTCAATAATAATGTATTCCTCTGGACAACCAAATTCATTATGCTACTGACTAAATCGTCCCGGCTAATTCAAGTAAATTTAAAATGAAATACCATATCGAAACACAAATGCTGAGTTGATTTCTGACAGCAGATTGTCGCGATCTTTAATGCTCTACTGCATGAGAAGCTGCTGCTGCAACTGGATCCGTAGATGCATTGCTGGTAAGTGCGAAGGCAAATTCTGAAACCAAAGCCAAGTGGTCGCTTCCCACTCTCTATTGTTCAGAAAAAAGAACGGTTATATTAGGAGAAATAATCTTTACACAAGTTTTTTTTTTTTTTTGTTGCAAGATTGTGGAGTTTGGAACCCGACATGGGCCCAGAGAACCTAATGTGTTGCTGTGGACTGAAACTGATGTCAACTGATAACATATTTTAGAATCAGCCTCCAATTCCTGTTTTTTCATATCAAATTGGATTCAAGGAAGAGCAGAGGCAAGCATGACAATCATAGTTCTTAAAATTAGTGCTAACATATAAAGAGGATTTCTAGCATCTGAACTATCAGTTAGATATGTGAGCTCTCCGAAATTCTAAAATCTGAATCTACTTGGCTATTAATGCATCATATGTTGTAAGCCCCCATAATCCCCTCAGCATGCATATCTGATCATTAAGTCAGATTAAATGCTTCATGAGTAATGATTTAAAAATGGCACTTGGCCTCAAGAACCAACTAGTAATACCTTGTTGGGAAGGCCACGTGTCCTTTGGAGAATATCAATCGGAACAGTATCCAGAACTTTTGTTGGCAAGATACCGTCAGAGTACCTGCATCAATTGCAAAATCTTGTTTTTTCATTCATTGTCATGCTACTTACAACAAAATCATTGATGTAGCCTATGGAAGATGCTGCTTACCATAAATAATCAACAGTACCAACAAACTTTGAGTGGTAGGAAGTTGCTAAGGGTTCACCGTTGAATCCCCGAGTACTTGCTGAACCCTGAAAAAGCAGAACAGTCCATTTGAAGGGAGTGGAAACCAAATCATTTTAAACCAAAGACGAAGATAATAATATCTTGGGAGCATTACAATCAGGTCCCACATAAGAAAATTAATTATCTCTCCAATCCATTTACAAGTCAAAGTTCTATATTTATATATTAAACTTCAGTATATACAAGTGGATAGGACTTGTAAGGAATTAGTTTTCTTATTTAGGATCTAGATGTAATTCTCCCTAATATCTTTCCATCGACATGATAATTTATTTTTCACAAAGCATGAGAGAAGGATGCAAGAAAATCATGTTAGAAAATAATAGGTTATAACTAGTTATTAGTATTGGATATTAGATGGTTGTACCAAAAAAGTCTGCAGAAGAATGATGCTCAGAACTGTATACCTTAACTGTGGCATAAGAACTGTTAAGTTTAAATGGGTGCACAACCAAGTGACGCTCAGAATTTCCTGTTGCAGTTATTATCTCTTCGTCTGTCCAGTTCTTGAGCAATCTGGAAGGAATAGCTTGTGAACATAATGCACAGTAAAAAGGCCTCAGTAGCCTAAGCCACATTCAAGAAACTTATCTTCTCCAATTAAAAGATATAATGAAATTGCAATCCCTTTACAGATTATAGATCAGACAATATAATATACTAAAGAATAGGAAACTAGTCATGAAAATGCATGCTGAATCGAATCATATAAGAGGAGGGCACTGGCTCCTACAGAAATCTGCAAAATGATAGTAAGGAAAAAAATTCCAAGGTAGCTTCAATCGCCTAAAGAAAAATGACAGAAAAAGAAACTCTTGACAAATTAATGACAAGGTGGAGCTTAAGCACAAAACGTCAGAAAGTTGGTGAGGAACCAGAACCTAGAAATGGTAAAGTAGCAAACTAACCAGATCCCTCAGAAGGTGAGATTACACGTGCACTTCTTCATCTTAAGCACGTGAATAATCAAAAACTAATTCTCTGTCATATAAACCAGCACAGAAGCTTATAAAATATCATTAATTGCTAGAGTTTAAAAAGAAGAAAAGAGAGGTACCTATCAATTAAGATAAATGGATTGACTCCCTTTTTTTTTATTGCCTAAAACTTGAGCAGGGTGACAGTTTTTCTGTCCAGATAATTCCCTTCTGTCATATAACATGATATTTAACTGCAATTGAAAACCACAACTAATTTCAAACAAGCACCTTGAAATTATTCACCTCAAATGATTAATCCAAGTTTCATTACAATGTAAAATGAACTTGCAAACCAAAAAGAAAACAAAAATTATCTAACTAACAACTTGAAAGTATTCACCTCAGATGACGCCAGGAACTTGTATATGCCACTCTGTTGATGAGAAATTTGAGGGAGGAAAAAACAAAATCAATACAACACAAGTCACCACAGACAAACACCCTACGCAAGTCTAGGCACCTGTTGCATGGCCTTGACTTGCTGAAGACAAAAACAAGTATATTTTGAAATATGGCACCTGAGGAGTACTATTAAAATCACCCACAAGCACAACAGGGACATTACCCCATTTCTCTGAAAGTGTCTGTGCTCTTGACAAGAGTGAACGAATCTGAAAACACCAAATATTTCAGTTTTAGTAATTATTTGAGTATAGCACGATTCAGAGAACAATAGAAAATTTGATAATGAAGGTTGAAAATTCTATTCTATAAAAATGACCCCCTGAAAATTATATATTATACAATAAAGAACCCTCCACAGACCTTGGCTTCAAAAGTTCAGTTTGGTTCAATTTCAGAAAAAATCAAATTGGACCAAACTAATCGGTTCACCAAAAGTTGGGATCTACTCGGCGTTTTCTCTAACCAGCTTGGTTTAAATTTGGATTGAGCTCACAATTTTTTTGTGAGATATTTTTCAAAATCCATATATGTGCTTGCGTGCACATATTCATTGATAATTTTTAACTATTAATTACTGTTTTCAACAAAAAATCTCTTTAGGACAAAAGAATATGTTTTTAACAATTAATTAGCACATTTAAATAAAAAAAACTAATATGTTATCTTTAAAAAACTTGATTATAAAGTAAAAAAATTATCATAAACAATTTTAAACAACATATAGTTAATTGTAATAGATTTATTGCTAGTGATTTATAAATAACTAAACTGGAGAAAGGGAAAAAACTTGGGCAAATTTATAACAACATATAAAATAAATATAACAAGATTTGGTTCTATAGCAAGAAGAAAAGAGGTTTGGTTCAGGTTGTTTCAAGTTTCAAAAGGAAAAAACTTGAATCAAACTGAACGCATCAATTTTGCTAAAAGAAAAACCAAATCAGTATGGTGTAATTGGTTGGAGTTGGTTTCAAACACCCTTGGATGTAATGATGATCTGACATAGTGCAAAGCAACACGAGAGACTTACTTGGCCTAGTTTAACTTCTCCCCTGCTTGGGTTATAAAGCACATGGATGTTACCAACTAGTAGTCTTCTGGAGTCAGATTTACGCATCTGCCTGTAAAGTATAAGTTAGAAGCACAAAGGATGAAAGACTGCTTTATGTACACTAAAACATTAAAATTTGATTATACTAAGGAATTAGTACCTCAAAAACTGAAAGTTGAGCAACATTATCGCGGAGACCAATGCCCTTAAATTCAATACTCTCTCCTCCTAGTAACCGGAGCCTAACAGACAGAAAAAAAGTTTGGTGTGAAAACTTTCATCAATCAGTTACATGTAACCCAAAAAAGAAACTAAGCAATTAGTAATAAACTAAACCATAATTTTCTTACTTGTCAGATTTCCAAAACATTGCACAACCATCAATTGTGTCTCCAGTGCGTCTCTGCAGCCCATTTTCACCTGTCATTAGCTCCTCATTTGTTGTTCTTCTTGATACTTAGGTGAATAGATTAATAATTGTAAAAGTACTCAAGCATGCCTTGTGAATCAGCGTGTTTCGATGATCTTAAATCATCATGTCAATCAAAGAAGCTAGCCCAAAAGATATTCAGGTAGGTCATAGTTGGTCGAACTCAAGATATTTCGAAGGTTTATTACATATATATGTGTATAAAGTTGAGACATCATCATCGATGAAACAGAACTTACCAAGCAACATAGATGATGCCCTATAAAAATTACTACCATTAACTTGCCATGGTTATACCTTGTAAGATCCCGTATATCCTGCTTTAACCAAAGCGTTTGAGATTTCCACATACCTGTCCACCTCCTGAGAAATTTTTCGAAATTACCATAAGCTACTCTTCGAGATTAAGCTCTAATCAATCATAAAATATTTAACCTCTTCAAAAAGGAAATGAAAATAAGAAAAAGATGACAATATCTTACCTGTAAACATATAATATCTGGGTCCAATCCAAAGAGTTCTTTACAAATAACCCTCTTGCGATGACTCCACTTCAAGTACTGAGAAGGAACATTTACGTATAAATCTCTGTGTTCAAAAGCATTTCTATCCGCCAGTATGTTATACGACGCCACGGTGAATCTTTCTGGAAAACGTAAATTCCCCGAGACAACAAAACCAATGAAACAAGAAAAACATAAGCATAGCCTATACTTCCAAAACTATTCTGGAACACGTAAATTCCCCGAGACAACAAAACCAATGAAACAAGAAAAACATAAGCATAGCCTATACTTCCAAAACTATGGTTCGAAAGGGGAAGGGAAGGAGGAAAAACCGGTAGATACGAGCGGTTGATGATCGGCTTCAACCCAATGGCGTTCAATTTCAGGATCTGGATCGAAATTTCTCTGTCTCAGAGGATTATACCATCGTCTAGTGTAAGAACGAGTAGATGTAGATGGTGATGATGATGATGAATCAGTGGAACCACTCGAGCAGCTTGGGAAAACGGCGACCTTCTTACAGGAGACGAAGAAGAGAAAGGAATGGCGCTTGAGAGAAACCGAGGCAGCAGTTGGCGAGCGAACACTAAGCCAAGAAGAGCAATCGCGAGAGGCCATCATCACAGTGAAAAACGAATTAACGAGAGAAGATAGAGGCTGGAGCTAGACAAGTTTAGCGCCACTGTTCGTTATCCAGTCCCCGAGGTTTTGAAAAATCTAATCGCCAGGTTTGGGGGGACATTATCCACTGTTAAAAGATCATATCATTCCCAAAAAAAAAAAAAAAACCAGAGAGCAGAGACACTAGTTTACCAAAATTGCACACCCACCCATAGCCATCAATTGACATCAAAGTATCAATAGACACAGCAAATAACAAGGGCTAAGAAAAGACTCAAATAAACACCTTGCAGATTAATTATGCAATGATCAGTTCTAGGTCTACCATAAGCTTTGGGATTGCCAATAGGGAGTGGTAGTCCTAGGACTTGCTTCATCGAGCCCAACCCCTTTAGCACCAATCCAACATTTTCATGAGCAATTTCACCAAGCCCTCCTCTGACAAGAGGAAAAAGAGACCTCTATAAATGAATATCAACATTTAGAGTATTAACAATCGTAATGTACCTTAACCAACCATAGCAAGCAATAATTTCAAGTTATTGAAAATCAGATCAATTATTAAATCGATTAAGATACTGATTCAAAAGTTAATGTTTAAAATTAGAGTTAAATCGCGATCAAATTAATTATAAACAAAGCTCTTTATTAGAACAATTAGGATACTAGTTTAATAGTTTATTGATTTAACTAGATAGGTTGACTCAAATTTCCGTACTATGAATAATTCATAAGGTGAAGTTATTTCTAAATGTACACATCATACACAAAATCAAAATAGATTTCAGTCTACCATGTAGATTCCAAGAGGTGCCCCTTGTCCCTGGAAGCTCCACAAAACAAACTTCATAGCCTTCAAACCAATCAGCATTGTGAAACTCATGCATCATGTTAATGAATTATACCAAATGTTTGTGATCTGGGAATGGAACTACCTTCAATGTTCGATGAGGATTATGTAGGCACGGATAGTTTGTGGATGTTGACAATGGAAATGACGGTTTTATTTTGTCTTAATCATGCTTTTCCTTTATGTGAAGCTGGTACACAAGGAGTCAATTTTTTCTTTTTTTGTAATATTGGTGCATAGGTAGGGCTGAGTTTACTTTTTGTGGTGTCCTTTGGTTGAAACTCGTAGGTAAGGGTTTGGTTTAATTATTACTTCTTGAACTTGGTTTGTGTTCATTGTAGCCAAACTAGGCAATTTCAGTTTTGGTGTCCCAAGTAGCTGAAATGGAGCAGTTTGGGTGTGGCCCGTATGGGGTTAGTGCCATAATTTAAGAGACTTCATAATCTTTATGTAGGAACTAAAATATTGGAAAATTTTCGAATGATATTGTCATGGTTTTTGCCAATGTAACTTTTTTGGCCACACATTAAGTGTTGTCTTATTCAAAACAATTATGTTCAATATGATACATGGTATTAAATGTAGGCACTTTTTTTAATGAAAATTCAAAACTTTAATTTATCATATTATGAGAGATTAATCTCCTTTATTAGACACAATTTCATTTGATTTTTATTGTGACTTAAATCATGATTGATGCATTACAACTAATTTTTACATTTGGTTCTAATCCTTCTACTATATGGGCTTTGGTTTTGTATCTAAGGTTTAAATTTTTCTCATGTTCCCCCATTACTTAAATTAAATCTCTTTGTATTGAAGTCATAAAAATCTTGGACTTTTAGTATGTAGGGTTTTCTTTTTTTTTTTTTTTGGGGGGGGGGGGGGACAAAACATTTGGATGTAGTAGAATTAAGGATGTCACATTACTACTCTGAGTTGGGCTGCTTATGTCTCAGACTCTTACGAAGCTGAGTCCACATCAGGCTTTGAAAATCCTAGCCCACTTGAATTTCAAATCATTTAGAAAATTTTAAGTGATCCAATTGAAGACTTTCATACTCTATCGTCAAATTGCACAGGTGTGAGCAACTGAGATGGGTCTAATGAAATGAAATGAGTTAGTCTCTCATAATATGATAAATTAATATTTAAATTTTTATTGAAAAAAGTACCTTTATTTAGTGCTAGACAAAGTCTCCAAAAAGATTGTCTCCAATAGGAATATACCTATAAGTGAAAAAAAAAAAAAAAAGCACAAGTTTGTTCCCTGTTTGTTCCCTTTTATTTAGTTCAAGAAAAATTACAAGGGAAGGCAGGGAAAATGTTGATAAGTTTTATTTAAAAAAAATAGAGAAATATAATTGAAAAGTTTTTCTTTTTATTATTTTCTGCTTATGCCTTTTTTTTAAATTAAAATTTTATGACATCACTTGTTGTTGGGGTCATGAGATTCATGGGAACGCCTGGAAAGCGATTCGGTGGGGTTAATGTAAACATCTTTTTTTTCTTTTTGGGTTGTAGCAGAGTCAGATTAGAGAAAAAGACACATGCGAAAATGTAAATGAAAATAAATAGGTTCAACGTAGTAGTTGCAAATCTAGCTTGTGTGTTAATTTGTTCACATGCCGCTGTATTATTTTGTCGTTATGCGAAGTTTAATTCTGTGCAAACAAGGTACATTATTCAGATTTAAGTTGGTAGTTCTTTAAACCAAATACATCATGCTGTCTCCGACCCAACTCTGTTTAGATAAGTCTAGTTTCAAAGACTTCGTATTCTAGATATACATGCAAAAAATAAAAATGATCCTTCTTCAAATCCATAGCTCTTTTACTCAATGGTGGAGCCACATTGTTGAGTTGATTTGCACCCTTTATTTTGGAGAAAATTATAAGTGAAATATAAAATCCACAATTTTTATCACCCACTCTTAATATTTTGTACCCTCTGAATTAAATTAAAAATTTAAGCTCAAAAATTTATTAAATATATAATATTTTAATTATTTAGATAAGATATAAAGAACATAGTTATTATAAAAGACAATGTTAATTTGTTCAATCTAATTTTTTAAAATAAAAAATAATAATAAAATGATTTGTATTGTTATAAGTTTAGTCTTAATATAATTATTACTTTTTCAAAAAATTAATTTTTTATCAAATTATTTCACATCCTCTGTATTCTAACTCTGTTGCTCCTTTTACTTGGACTTAGCCTAGAGCTAGGAAAACAAATTGAGCCTGCGAGCTAGCCTATTTAATCTTTACAATTTGACAGATTGGATTGAAGAAATTGGCACATTTTTTAAAACGGGTTGAGTTAGTCCAACCTGCAAAATTAACAAGCTTAACGGACTGGCCCGCGAGCTAGCATATTTTTAAAAAATAATTTTTTATTTTTAATTACATTATATCTTTTTATAAATCTACAATAATGATAATATTTCTTAAATATATAATTTATAACTTTCAAATATGTTTTTTACATTTAAAATATAGTGTAAATCTTTTTTATAATTTACAAATAAAATTTTTATTATAGTTTGTGAAGATAATTTATTAATTTTTATAAAAATATTTTAAATATATATTATTTATTAATCTTATAAGATCTATTAATTAAAATTATAAATATGAATTCACTGAAAAAAAATATAAATTTATATTCAAATCTTCTTTTTCATAGATAACGAACCTAGGCGAGAAGATAATTGATAGTAAAAATTTAGTAAAATAAATTTGCTTGATTGAATTCTATATTTATTTTATTTATAATTTTTTTAATTTTTAATTTATTTTAAAATATGAAATAAATATATATATTTATATTATATAAATTTTAAATTATTAAAAAAATATAATAATTTTTTGCTGCCAGCCCGCGGGTGGCTAGTCTGAAAATAAATTAGATTGAATTTTTTAATTCATTTTATTTGATAGACTGACCTAACCTATAAAAATATCAACCTGTGAGCTAACTTATAACCCATTCATTGAGTGCTAACTTAGCCTCCTAATGGGACGCTTTGAGCATTGTGGGGGTTAGAGTTCGAGTAGAGGATTCTGAGTCTGTCACTGTTGCAGTAATTCTTGACCCATTCTCGATAAGAAAACAACTAACTTTACCCAAAAAAGGAAGAGCAAGTGACAATAATTTTTAATGGAGCATAATATCTGCCGCAATCAACGGCCTTCGAATACTTTTATCTTGGCACTGTTTTTTGATAAATTTTTTAAATATTCTTTAAAAAAAAGTAACAATCAGATCTCATAATATTAAATTAATAACATTGAGATCCTTAACAATTTTTTTAAAAAAACATAAATTAAAAATATCAATTTAAATAATTATAAATTTAAAAGTTTTAATTATATAAGTAGATTTATGTACAAATAAAACTCTTAAATTATAATATGAGTTTCTATTTATAATTGCTTGAATTGATATGTACAACTTATTTTATTAAAAAATTTTGTTGGAGACTTATACATTATTAATTCAACTTTTTGATATTTAACTGTCATTCTCCTTATTCTTTAATTTGTTTGTCAACTTGATTTTTAATTATTCTTTATAAAAGAAAACAGATTTTTAATCTATCTTTAAACTTTAACTTAATGTAGTTTAGTTACAATAGTCTTATTTATTTAAATTATTAGTCTCTAATTTTTAAAGAAAAAAAATTTGACTCCCATAATTTTATATTTAAAAATATAAAAATTAATATTTTAAATAGTTAAAATTATTTGAGTTGAGTTACACTAAATCAAAATTTAGAATTACTCCCTCTAGTCAATTAAAAAGAAAAAGAAATTACGTCTTATGGACTACAATATAGAACATTGATAATCATTTTATAGTTTTTAAAAGAAGTTAGGTAAAACCTTAATATTAAAAATATATATATATATATATATTTAAGTACACTCTCATTAAATATCCTATATAAGCTCTTTCTTAGTAACAATTGAAATTTTAATGTATCATTTCTTCACAAATAGTAATAAATGAAGTAAAGATATAATTAAAAAAATAATTATAAAAATCACTCAATGTTCTATATTTGAGACCAAGCGAGGCTTATAAAAGACACATTACATTGAGGTCTATAGGAATTAAATTTTGAGAACTGCAAGTCCTCTCAATTTTACTCAATTTTAAATTACATCCTTGTAGTTTATTTTATTTAAATTGTGCTCTTATAGTTTGATCAATTAAAATATTTTAATCCCTAAAGGTTAAAATTCTTAATTGTTTCTTTTTTAAAAATTAAAAATTTTTAATTTTTATTAAATGAATATATAATTTTAAAATTAGTTACATAATTTTTTATAACTCAAAATTTATATAATTTGTTTGTCTTCTAAATATTTTTATAGGTATATAATTTTCATTAAAATTAATAAAAATATGAATAGTATATTAAATAAAATTTTATTTTTTCAACTTTGACTAAAAGTATTAAATTAAATTTTCTATAAAATCCAAACATATCTTTTTTGTAAAATTTAATAATTCATTATTAATTTTAATATTTAAGGTTTAACATATATAATAGATCAAGCTATAGGGACTTGGTTAAAACAAAATAAATTACAAAGATCTAATTCAAAATTAAACAAAAATAAAAGGACTAATATATTAATTTTATCATAAATTTTTAACTGAGTTAAACTTTTTAAAATTAAATTATACAAGTTAAAATTTAGCTGTTGAATTTTAACTTATTCAACATTATTGCAATTATAACAACCAAAATATTAATTTTTCCAAGTAACAATAAGTGAGTCTTTACCATGTGAAAATGAACTCATGTCAAAAGACTTGATTATCATCCAAGGATAGCAACTGAGTTTATAAGGATATTGGAAGAATTTAATTTGAAAAAATTAATCATTTAATTTTACTTAATTGTAACTCAATTCCTAAATTTTGACTCATTATAACTCAATCTTTATAGTTTTAACTCAATTGTAATTCAATCCTTAAACTTTTCTCCTAGCAATTTAGTTTCTATAATTTTAACTATTTAAATATTGATCTCTATATTTTAAAAAATAAAATTATAAAGATTAAAAATATTTTAAAATTTTAATATTTATAAAAATTAAAAGGGCTTAGTAATTTAAAATATTAGTAATAAGTTTCAGCATATTTTTAATCTTTATAATTTTTTGTTCAACATATAGGGATCAATATTTAAATAATTAATGTAAGAGATAAAATTTAGAAATTGAATTATAATCAAATCAAAACTTTAAAAATTAAATTATAATGAGTTAAAGTTTACAAACTGAATTATAATTGAATTAAAACTACAAAGATTAAATAATTATTATTTTTATTTAATTTTGCCTGTTAAGTTTTCTAGAGTCAATATTAACTTATATTTTATGAAGGCTTTATTACTCATTAAATATAATTTTTTTAAAAGTCACCCTCTCAATAGTTATCAACAAAATTAAAGATGTCATTAGAAACAATTGATTGATTATTTTTAATCATATTTATAAAAAAGCAAGTATATATACTAATTTTCTAGCTCACAATAATTTTATTGCCACAGTATTCAATAGCCTACCCTGATTATTACATTAAACAAGACTTGATCTTATCTCTTGACATGATTTTTTCGTGGGCTTCTATTAAAATAAAATGAACTCATGTGCTTTACTTTTTAGTGCAATCGCCTTTGATTAGCGAATTCTCTTTTCCAGTCAAAGAAAATAAACTCATGTCATTCGACCCTTTTTCAGCTGTAAAATACTAAAATTACACTCAATAGCTTCAGTGTCCATTTTTCTTTGGAAAAAACAAAAAAAGAAAGGCCAAAAAAAAAAAAAGATTTCCTCCATTCACGCTCTCTCTCCCAACCTTTGCGTGGTCTTCTTGAATATTGGAAGTGGAAACTAATAAAAAGCCAACACCCTCTCGCACTTTCCTTCATCATCTTTCCTCTTCCTCTGCTTCTTCTTCGTCTTCCCAAGTTTTCTTCTTTAGCTTTCTCACCCAAACATGTCTCTCAACTCAGCTTTCACTCTCTCCGTTTCCTTCTTCCTTCTTCTTCTTCCTTCTGCTTTCTCTCGCGCCTTACCATCTGAATCTAACGATTTCGCTACCACTGAGCTTGATGTCTCTTCCTCTCTCCATCAAACCAACCAAGTTCTCTCCTTAGATACAGAACTGTTTGAAGAAACATATAGCACCCCCACATTCTCTTGTTCTTCTTCATTCTCTGTCCAGTTACATCCAAGAGATTCTCTGTTGAATTCGCAGCACCAGGACTACCGGAGCTTGGTCTTGGCTCGACTCGCTCGTGACTCAGCGCGAGTGAAATCCATCACTACCAAACTACAACTCGCCCTTAACCAAGTCGGGAGGTCCGATCTGTACCCGACCGAGTCCGAGGTCCTGCCTGAAGATCTATCCACGCCGGTTTCCTCTGGTACCAAGCTAGGCAGCGGCGAGTACTTCTCCAGAGTCGGCGTGGGTCAGCCGCCGAAGCCTTTCTACATGGTTCTCGACACCGGGAGCGACGTGAACTGGATCCAAAGCAAGCCCTGTATGGACTGTTACAACCAAACCGACCAGATTTACGATCCGACTGCTTCATCTTCGTACAGTGCTCTCACCTGTAGTTCGCAACAATGCCAACAACTCGAGACGTCCGCTTGCCGGAACGACAAGTGTCTCTATCAGGTTTCCTACGGCGACGGGTCCTTCACTGTCGGAGAATATGCGACGGAAACGGTGTCGTTTGGTAAAACCGGGTCAGTGAATCGCGTTGCTATTGGTTGTGGTCACGACAATGAGGGACTGTTCGTTGGAGCCGCCGGGTTGATCGGACTTGGCGGTGGACCTCTGTCGCTCACATCACAGATCAAAGCAAATTCGTTCTCCTACTGCCTGGTTGATCGCGACACGGACAGATCGTCGACTCTCGAGTTCAACTCGCCCAGTCCCTATGACTCAGTAACCGCCCCGTTACGAAAAAACCGAAAGCTCGGTTCGTTTTATTACGTTGAACTCATCGGGGTGAACGTCGGAGGGAAAACAGTCCCTATCCCTCCGTCGACATTCGCTTTGGACCAGGATGGAAGCGGCGGGATCATCGTCGATTCCGGGACCGCCATTACTCGGCTACAGTCTGAGGCTTACAACTCGGTCCGTGACGCGTTCGTGAGACTGACTCGGAACCTGAAACCCGCGAGCGGGTTCGCTCTGTTCGACACGTGCTACGACTTGTCGTCTCTGCAGTCAGTGAAAGTGCCAACGGTGTCGTTTCAGTTCAGTAGCGGGAAATCGTTGGCGTTGCCGGCGAATAACTACTTGATTCCGGTGGACTCGAAAGGGACATTCTGCTTCGCTTTTGCTCCGTCGTCGTCGTCAATGTCCATCATCGGGAACGTGCAGCAACAAGGGACACGTGTTACCTTCGATCTGGCGAACTCCATAGTTGGTTTCTCAAACAATAAATGCTAGTTATGTATACGTAGGTATTTTCGTATGTATCGCTATTCGCTATATAAAATCTACATTAATTAATGGCGAAAACAAGAAAATTAGGTATGGTTTTTGGATTTTGATTTTGCTAAATCTGAATTGGGAACCCTTAGTGGGTAAGAAGGAATCTTTGTATTTGCTTAATTGCTCTCAAGGAATTGGAATTATCAAAGATGACATTTGAGATTTGTGACTCAGTGGTATGAGTGGTAAATTTTTGTAATCTTGGAACCTATTATAGTACCAAAAAGTGCTTAATTCAGTCATGTTATGGAATGGATGTGTCGTGGCCGACCACGACAAAATGATTTGAGACAAAATTGACAGCGGCAGAGAGAGACCATATAAAGGATCTCGTGCCTGGATTCGCTGAATTGGGTCGCCACTATGTTGATAAGCTTATATATAAGGGCCATTTGGTCTTTTGACCAATTTTTCTTGTCTATAAATAATTTTATATATTTTCATTCTTTACAAATATTTTTTTATTTGATAAAATTTTATTTAAAATAAGATTAAATATTAGGTCAAGTATTAAATGTAAACGTTAGAGTTTTTTTTTTTTAACAAAAATTTAAATTTTAGTTCATTACATAAAAATTTAGTTTTTTTTTAAATTCAATTTTTGATAATTATATATTTTTATTATCTATATGATTATATATTTTGATATATTAAGTAGGATTGCTATTTTAGATCCGACCATTATCTCTTATTAGCATCTACATGAAGGAATCATACCGTGCAATTCCTTTTCAATTAGCCCAACCATCATTACATATACATCGCATATAAAAAAATTAATTTGCAAGTTTTTATTGTTTTTCTTAGTTTTAAATTAAGCTCTTGAGAATTTATTTTACTTTAATTAAGTTCTTATAGTTTGATTTCTTAAATATGTTAATTACTTAAAATTAAAATTATTATTGAATGATTAAATTTTTTAACACAAAAATACTTTTGACTTTTATTAATAAATTGGTTTAATTATTTTGGCAAAAAAATAAAATTTATATTAATACAATGTTTACATTTTTATTAAATTTTGTATGAAAATTCTGTGCATAAAAATTATTTTAAAAACATAATCTAATAATTTTAATTTATAAAAATTATGTAATTAATTCTAAAATTACATAATATTTAAATAAATATATAAAATTTTAAATTTTATTTTCTCAATGGAAAAATTCAAGGATTTTGACTTTAGTAATTAATAAATATAATGGATCAAACTATAAGGACTTGATTGAAATTAAAAAACTATAAAAATATAAATGAAAATTAAAAAATGATAAGAACATGATAAATTTTGTTATGTATTGTGTGTGTGTGGAAGAAATTCCCGACAATTTCTTTAAAAGTAGGTTAAAAATATCAATTCAAATAATTATAAATTTAAGAATTTTAATTATAAATGCATATTTAAGTATTAAATGTAACTTTTAAATTGTACTCTTTCTGTCCTAAATTATAAGACAAATTTTGAAAGAATTTTTTGTCCTAAAATATAAGATAATTTAAAAAAATAAGATTTTATTAATGATATTTTTTTAATATTACTCTTTTAAGTGAAGAGAAAATTGAAGTGATATTGTAGCTAGATTAAGTGTGTACAAGCATTATTGAAAATTTATGAGTAGTTTTTTATGGAAAAAAAATAAGAATTTAAAGTGTCATTATTGTATTTTATTGATATGTATAATCTTGTCATAAATTATTTTATAATTTGGGATAGAACTAGTAACATGAATTTATGTTTAGAATTGTTTGAAGGGTTAATGAGTATTACAGACCCTAAACTATTACTCAAAAAAATATTCTAAACCTTGAAATCTTAAAACTAATAAAAACTTCTATCAACTTATTAATTTTAAACAAATTATTGTCACTGTTTATTTGTATAACATTGACCAATATGTCAGTCAACCAACATGTCATATGTTGAAAGAAGATTAGTGTCACATCAGCCTTTAATTGGGCTTCATAAAGTCAAATGTAGTTGCAATTATTTTTAAGTTAACAACAAGGGTTAATTTATTATTTGATTAACAATTTATGACCTATAATGCTTATTTTAAGAATTTAAAATTTAAAATGCTATTTAAAAAATAGTTTAAAATAAAAAATGATCATCAACTTCATTTAAATTAATATTTATAATTTATTTTTTTAAAAAAAATAAATTTTATTAGAAATCTAACTATCATTGGTTTAAACTTTTAAAATCTATCTGTCATCCTCGCGTTGCATAGTATGCTAAAGATTAAAGTTCTCCATGAAAATTGAAAGCAGTGTGACTGGAGACGTGGCAAGTACTTTAATAGTCTAGTACATGTAATTTTGTCGGCTGATGTGATATTAACTAGGATTCAATTTTATCGGATGCCCCAGAAGGGACATATTAATTAGGATTCAATTCATGCTTATTTTAAAAAGCAAAGTAAATGAGTTTGACAATCGACGAAAATGATTGATGGATTTTTATTCATTGAATTGATCAGGAAAAAGTTAAATGTTTGGACCGAAGAAAAATTAAAATGTAATTCGCAGAAAAAAGTAAAATGTAATTCGAAGACAGGGGGAAAAAGGCCCCAAAAAAAACAAAAAAGAAAAAACAGAGAGAAGACAACATCCAAGACCCAGATTAAAGGAATGTACCCCTAAGATTCCTTACATTTTGAATTCATTCTGCAAGTTCAAAGCTGTATATACAAATATTTTTTCAAATAAAAAGATCTATTTACCCCTCATTTGAAAAAATATTGTGTGCTAGGTATTTTGTTATTAATATATGAATATTATTATGTTATATATAAATATTTTATTATTCATATTTTTGGAAAACTTGTGCATTATTATTTAATTAAATCACACAAATTATGCATAATGAATGGATATTATTTGAACCTTATCATGTTATACATAAAAATTATATTAGTTATACACTTGAAAAACTTGTACATGTTTAAATGAGGGGCAAATGAGTCTTTTTGCCATAAAATATATTTGCATATAAGACTGAGATCTACAGAATCAATTGATAATGTGTTGCTGTCATCGGAAACATAAAGAATCTCATTATGCAAGATTGGGAGATCATGTTTGATCATGTTTGTAGAAAAGCAAATAGATGCACCAATTTCCTAACACACAGGACTCCCAAAGATTATTTTGATATTATATTATTTGACAGACCACCTATTAATTGTAAGAGTCTTATGCCTTTTGACTTGATTTGATCTTAATATTTTTGCATGGTTTTATTGCGGCTTTATATTAAAAAAAAATTCATAATGTGTGGTGACTTAGGTGGATATTTCTTTAATTAGGGCATTAGGCGCAGTGTTTTGAAACTCGAACAGGACATCGAACCGAAAAGAGCAACGAGTCGCGGTTTTTATGGTCTAACCAGTTAGACTGGCGGTTGAACCGATGACATAAAAATTAAATAAAAAATAAAATTTATATGTATAATTATATAAATAAAACATTAATTTGTCAATGGTGCTTGGAATCTCGACTCCAAAAGCTAAATACTTGGATAATTGGAGTTAGAGGTAAAAGCATGTTAGTACAAGCTTGTGATCTCAAAAGAAAATGTTAGAACTGGAGGCATACTGTCATGTCATGACTTACAAGCTTTCGATCTCAATATTAAAGATTGGATTGTTAAAGCTAGAGGTAGATGTTGGAGGAGAAGTTAGAGATTGAGTGTGGGCCATGAAGAAGAAATTAGATATTAGAGAAGAGAAGAAAAGAGAGAATTAATGATTAGAGAAAAAAATTATGAATCTAAGCAACTCAGCCTAATTTTTTTAAATTTTTTTGGTTTTGAATTAGGTGGACCCGAGTTCGATTTTCGAATCAAAGCCGGTTCTCTCAAAACCGGCCGGTTCAACCCGAGTCAAACGTCAGATTGGTTCATTTGATTGAACTGGACCGTTTTCTTCAGAGGATTGCGGTCGAATGGCTCGGACCATCCGGTCCGATCCGATTTTGACAACATTGATTAGGCGTCATTCTCAAAAAAAAAAAAGTTGCTACATCAACGACCTTTCTTTCTTTCTTTTTTTTTCATTTGTATTTTTTTTTTGGAAAGTTACTTCGACACTGTTCAAGCTCAACCCATACGCGTAATGCCGACCAGTCTTCAATAAAGTTAAAGGCATTAAGGTAAATTCATCGTAACATTATTTAATTTAAATATTATAATAAATCAGAGCAAGCTTTTGTGTTTTTTCCTCTAACGGACCAAAGAACAAATATCTTTTCCCAAAATGAAGTTGATAAAAAAAAATTAAGTAATTAAATGTGATTACTTTTTAAAGATATATTTAGGCTCAAAAATTGTTTATAAATTAACTTATAAATATGAAATAACTTGATTGGTACCCTCTAAAGTTTGCACCATCTTTTGTTAGTTAAAAAAATAAGGGTCAATGAGCATCATAAACTTTAAATAATTAAGTAAAAAATATTTTGAATTTTGAATTTTTAAAATGAATAAAAATTCTCTTCAACTTTTAAATTTCAAACACTTGAAATCTCATCGTTAAATTATTTAAGGATCAACATGAGTATCATATTAACATGTGATTGAGCCCAATGACTACAAAAATAATGGCTATTTTTTTTAATTTAATGGCAATATTTTAAATGCTCCAACTTTAAAAGTTGAGGAAGTTTTTATACATTTTAAAAGTTTAAAATTTAAGATATTATTTACATAATAATTTGGGGCTTATGATGATTAATAACTCAAAAAATAAATATATTGGGATGATATATAGAGACAAAGAGACAATTAAGAGGATGTTTGCAGACAAGTATAAAATAATGATAATCCAGATTTATGAGTAAAAGAATAGTAGATCCTTTCCACTTGCATGAATAAATTAAGGGAAGATGAAAATGATTATACTAATAGTATATATATTTGGGTGGGGCATCAGGATCAAAAAATCACGTGCATGCAGGAAAAATCAGGCACTCTGATCAGAGTCACCAATCACGCCATTGGCGTAAAAGGACAGATAGGTCAACCACAAATGCATCAGAATTCAGAAACTTCCAAATATATAGCTGTTTCTCACTTTGGAAAATTGATTCGCTTGTTAGGCTTGTTGGCTCTTAAATTTCTTTCTTTCTACTTTCTTTGTTTAAAAACATAAAATATTTTTTAAAAAAATTAAATATTAAAAAATTAAAAATATTTTTAATCTTTTAAAATATAATTATTATTTTTTAAAAATACTTCTATTAATAATAACTTTATATTTATTGTAGGGTGTTTAATAGAGATAAATATAAAAAGATAAATTTAATTAAAGAATATGTAACTATTTTATTAGTGTATGAGGTTTAATTAAAAATTTTTTATATTTTTAAATGAAGAGAGTATGTTTTAATTTTTTTTAAAGCACATTCAAGAACTTGATAAAACCTCCTCCTCCTCCTCCTCTTACATGCGATTACTAATTGAGTTTTATTGGCAATGATATATGTGAAGAAAGAAGTGAAAAGGTTTAACTCTTTCAAGGTTTAACTCTTTCACTTGATATCAAAGTTGGAATATTGTTAATAAAAAAATACCCATATTTAATGCACATATGCTCGACATATATAAAAAAAAGAAAAGAAATAATAGTCATTGTTTTACTATGAAAAGCAATGAGTCTTCAATCAATGCTAGATCAAAGTAAAGTATTCTTAGTGGGTCACAAATTTCTACCTTTCACATACTTACTTTGCTTACTATATCTTTAGTTCATTCAAAATTTGACATATTAAATGTATAAGAGAGGATAATCTTTGGTGGGTTTGTGGAAAAAGTGGATATGCTTTTTGTTAAACAAGCCCTATCGTTTGACCCAAAAAATGTCAGATTCAGATCTTCGTTTAGGTCCTGGCCAGCTGGTCCATCTATCATGTTATGTTCATACTACTAGAGTTCACTTTCATCACAAACTAATTCTTGTCTCTTGTATCAAAATAATTTTAAAAAAATTAATTATTTAATCTTTATAATTTTAACTCAATTATAACTTAATACCCATTTAAATTTTAGTTAAGTATAATAGATTATAAAAATAACTAATTAAATAACAGATTTTAATTATAATTAATTATGTTATAACACAATCTATTTGGATATTTTTTTAAATTAATTTTAATAGAATTAATGATGTTTGGATAATTTATTCAGAATCAATTTTAACTGCATAAATTATCATAAAGGACATTGCCTTTCAAAATTAAATTATTAATAAATTTGTATCTAATATTATTAAATTTGTTAAATTTTATTTAAAAAGTAAAATATATTATTTAAATTACATATCTAATTAATTATAAAAATTATAATTATATTAATATTAAAAATTTAATTTATGTAAATAAATAACTTAATATATCTTAGTTCAAATAAATTTAATAAAAGAGAAATATTCATTTTTATTTTTATTAAATTACCATAAATAAATAACTTGATATATCTTAGTTCCTAAACTTTAATTTATTGTAACTTATTTTACTTTAGTTATAACTCAATTTTTAAAATTTGATTCTTACAACTCAATCCCTATAGTTTTTAACTATTTAAATATTGATTCTTGTATTTTTTTAAAAATAAAATTATAAATATTAAAAATATTTTAAAATTTTAATATTTATACTTTTTGTAAAGATTAAAAAGGTTTAGTAATTTAAAATATTATTAATAAATTTTAACCTAATTTTAATCTTTACAATTTTATTTTTGAAAATATAAGGAGCAATATTTTAATTGGTTAAAACTATATGAACTGAGCTACAAGAGTCAAAATTTAACAACTGAGTTATAATTGACTTACAACTTCAAAAACCAAATGATTAATTTTTTTTAATGTAAAATATTTTATTAAAAGAAGTTTAAATTACTTTTGAAGGACTCACTATACATTTATACAGTAATAATTATTTATCTAATTACTCAATATGGGACTATCATACATCTAATAATTATCTTATTATTTTTTCTTTTCTTTATTTTTCTTTCTTTTATTGTTCACAAATATTCTCTTATTGAAATCAAATCTGTTTGAGACAAGATTGGGACACTAAATGTGAGCATTTTCTTAATGGGGATTTGAATCTTAATTTACCATATGAGGGACGAGCACCTTCCATCCAACCCTTTCTTTTTCAGTATCAATGTCAATTTTTTTATTTTCTATTTTTCTTTTCATTGTCCAAAAATCACCTGGATCTTTATACTATATTAGTGTTTTATATTAATCACGAATTAAACACTAAAATAGCTTAAACTACTTTAGAAGCATTCACCACACATTTATACTGTGATTAATTTTCTAATCACTCAAAGTGATACTATCACACATTTAACACATTGATATTTGGAAGTTAAAGCTTCCAATTCGTTCTCATATCTTGTAATAGGAAGGGCACTGTACAGGCCTATTGAACCTTGTGATTTTTAATAATATATTTTAGATTTTATTTGAAAAAATGGGAAATATTAAAATCAAATGAGGTAGTTAGTATTCATACTAACAAATACCTCATTTTTTGTTAAAAAAGAAAAAAAATGTATAAATCACATGAATAGTTCAATGTGCTCATAGGATCAGGACATAATGAAGAAATGTGGATCTTAAATGTTAAATCACATCCTCCTCCTCCTCATCATCATTATATAAATCTATATTTGCAAGAAATGTGCATAAATAAGTTGAAAGTTGAGTTTATTGGATAAATTCAAACTATTTCACAATAAAATTCCTGATAGAAGAATGAATGCGCACTTGCTAGTTTCCTTTAACAAGAAATTTTTGTTCTTCAACTATTCATTTAATAGCATCTTAAACTTTGTTATAATACAATATCTTCCTTCAATATTTTAAAACAATACAATTTTGGCTTTCAGTTAAATATGTTAAGAATTGATGTAAGTTGACTCAGAAAATTATAATAAAACATTGGAAAATTACATTAAAAAATCCTATAAGAAAATTAATATCAATTAAATCTCTTACATAAATAATTTTAATGAGGAAATTTATGGAGATATTGCACATAAAATACAAGCTGAATAATTTAATTAAAGAAAGGTTAAAGGAGTTATTTGCGATCATAAAATACTTAATAAACTTAAATAGAAGTTTTATTGAACTGTTATAAGATCAACAATATTATAAAGCAGTAACTATTGGGTTTTAATAAGATAGCAAGAATATGAAGTTGGATTGGCAAAGATGAGAATATTAAGATAGATATGTGAACATACATGTATAGGTAAAATTTGAAATAAGCACATATAAGAAAAAGTAAACTTCACACCTATTAAAGGAAAAGTTGTAGAAAATATTTTGAAATGATTTGAACATGAAAAAAAAAAACCCCACAAAAGCCACCTATGAAAATAGTGAGACAGATAAGTTTGAATTTCGTCAAAAGAGGTAAATGAAAGCCTAAAAAAAATTTCTAAAAGTTGTTAGTCAAAACCTCTTCATTAATATTTTTACAAGCTTGACAAATAATAAAATAAAATGATGTCATACAATTCATGTAATCAACTCCACTTACTGAGATAAAGCTCCTTCTTGTTGTACTTATTAGTAATTTTTAGATCTTTTCTTTTTTATACCTTTAGATCATTTTCTATAATATTTGAATTAATTAAAGATCAAAGGTAATCTTTTGTTTATGGTAGAGGCAAGAGCAACATTGCACCATTTATAATTGTTGAAGAAAAAAAATTGCATCACCCTTAAAAAAAAAAAACATGCGTTCTTATGCGAACAATTAAAAGGTAAAAATGTCCTTTTATTTTTAAAAAAAAAACTTAAAAAGAGTCCTTTGACGAAATAGAGCTGTAAGAAACACCATATTATTATAACATACATTAAGGCTGCTCTTCTTTCTGATCTTCAAGATCATGAAGTGACAAGGTTAATGTTACAATATATTTTTTGGAATGTTTTTCATGCCAAAAAAATTTGCTAAGGCTATACCTTTCTCAATTAAAATGAATCATAATGATTAGCTGTAGGAAACTTGTGAATAAAAAAATATTGAATTTGTCCTGGCACTATATGTCCCTGAAATGTCATCATCTTGTTTGTTCTTAAATGCCAAAAGGATCTTCAGATTCAGCATTCACTCAACCTACTTGCTCTATTTTCTTGGCAGTATTGACGAATGTTGCACTCTTATTAAAGCCCTCGAGCAAAAGAATCCGTACTGCTTCCACTCCTTTGTGAAATGTAAAATTCAACTGAAAGATATTTTATATTAACATTTAGATCCAAAAAACCGTGTCAAAGGATTTTCAGTCAATTAAACAGTAAGGAAATGTACCTCTTCTCTTTCTTGTTTAGTGAAGGAGCGAAGAACAAATGCTACAGAATCCATTTTCCCAGGAGGCCGTCCAATGCCTGCCAAAAGAAAAAATAATCATCAATTTTGGTTACAAATAAACATCACAAACCGATGCAAATATGCAATAAAGGTAACAACTTTTTCAAATAAAATAAAATAAAATAAAAGGCTTCAAACATACCAATTCTTAATCGAGGGAAATCAGAACTCCCTTTCAAGTGGCTTATAACACTCTTCATTCTGCCAGAAAGCAAGAAAAAAACATCAATGCCTCATTTGCTTTCCTCAGCAAGCAGCAAGTCAAAGAGCATAACATCACTCAGATGAATGATCATCGTATCAACCTTGATGAGAAAAGAAAGAACTTGAGATGCCTTTTGAGGAAAAATAAAAGAGGAAGGACTGAACATCATGAATTGAAGTAAAATACAAAGGCTATTCTAACCTCTAAGTTTCTAACAGAAAGAGGCCAATTTCATGGGTCTCCTATACTAGTTAGAGGATGGATTAAGAGATGGACAAGGATTTTGAATTTGCTCTCTGCACGTAATTTCAGGAGAAAGAGATATCTTTAAAGGCAATTGAAATGCTTATTATGTGTTTTTGAATTTATGATGTTATTGTTAAACTGTCAGCGCCAGTGTGCCATGCTCAGCATTTAGTTTTAGCATTCCTTAACCTAAGAGAAAGGGAGTAAATTATGGCCATGCTTATACAGTGGAAAATTTAGCCACGTTCCATTCACTTCAATAGTTTCTTTCTATTCAGAAAAGTGATGTAAGCCAAGTACTAGCATAGCCAAGAATATTCTCTACTTGTTTCTAGAATGACCATTCGACTTCTAAAAGTTTATCGTATTTATATTTTATAGCACAAGTAACGTTTCTGCTGCTAGCTAATTATCAAGTTAAGCCCAGACATTTTCACATCCAAATTATGGTTGCGGAAATAATAAAAGAAGACACACAGCATCTTCTACTATCAAATGAAGTAGAAATTTGTATATGAAATTTAAAACATGATTGATATTGTAGTTTATACATTCAATAAGATGCCATGCCAAAGGCAGAGTATTGAAAAACAAGCACAAGAAAAGATCATAATTACCCATTGTGACCTCCATGCCCCCCCTTTGGCAACAGCCGCAATTTTGCAAAAGGCAAATCTAGGTCATCAAAGATCTGTACAAGAGATTTATTAACCCAAGGCTGTAGCACATGCTGCTTCAAATACTCTGCTTTACTTTTGCAGGTCTTAAGAAAAAAGAATAGAAGTTATAGCATAGGTAGTATACCACAAGTACTTGCTTCAATGGAATCTTGTAATATGAAACTATAGCCCCAACCTTCAAAATAGATTTGATTCCCAGTCAGTCGGTCTGTCAAAAATAAAAGTAATAAAGGAGGGCATGCACATCAACAAAGCCACTCTAAAGAAACACAAAATATTTAATCACATGTTCACAACAGTTTTCTTCAGCAATTTGTCATTGCTATGTCACAGGATCTTGTTAAATCCCTTCAGATTTATCATGTTGACAATCATAAAACCAGTATTCTTCAGTCAACAAAGCTGACCTAGCATATATTACAACATATGAGAATGTTCTAGCTAACATACTCACTGATTCACCACTCGAATTCATGAAAGTCTGAGGTTTTGCAAGTATAACTGGCACATCACCTATAACACCTGAAGTAGTAAAAACAAATTCCATCAAAATGCATTGCCCAACTGGAATAACTACTAACAAATATTTCAATGACATCCTTTGCTTTTCTACCTAACATTCTGAAGTCTGAATTAAAATGATATTGGCAAACGAATCTGAGAAATTGAACAAAGCCATATGATCATAATGTATACAGTTCATTAATTACAATATAGACAGTTTCCTGTCCGACATGAAACTACTCTGTGCTTCAACTTGACTATAATTATGATCATATAAAAATAATTAGGGTGGGTAGGGTGAGAAGCCATAATTTACTACAACAAAAATTAATAAGTAGATTGCCATTCCTCTGTAGCCACCGAAGTAATATGAGAGAATGAAAAAGATTTAACCTTTTCCAAACAGGGCTTTAAAGGAAACGCTGCTCATAGGTATCCCTTCAGCTTCCGCTATAGCATCAACCATATCAAAACCCACCTGAAATGATGCTACGAAATGGAGTCAGACATAGACTATTGAAATTGGTTCCAGGTCCCAACCAATCATAATATCATCTACTAGGCATCATAAACTGCTAGCAAGACTCTAACGAATAGTATGAAAAGTTGAAAACTACTTCTATTTCATGAAGTATATATAACAAAGAGGGAGGAAGTTGCCTAACAGCAGTATGTCAGTGTCATATATACATGATACTACATAAAAGATATCTTATTTGTCCACACTTGTACAACAAGCAAGCACAAAATGGAGTACCCATAGCATAAGTATATATACGATTTCCCATATACAACTTGTATTTTTTTTTTTTGGGGCATATGATGGAGAAAAGATTTAAATCTAAGACAGCTCTTGATAAACTGACACTCCTACCACTAGACCACACCCAGTAACTTCAGATACCATGCAATATCTAATTTTCAGCCCAACGCTGCCAAACAAGTCCTATTGCTAGGAAGATGCTGTAATTTCAGACTTTCAAAGCTAGTGATTGAAGATGCACCAAATTAATCAACATTAGAACAGATGCAGTTCAGCTGGGACAATCTAAAGTTAGTGACTTTTGGAAGCACCTATTGCTTAATGAGACAATTCTCCCAGGCACAACAGCTACTGCTGTGGCGGCCGTGGCACTGGAATTTACAATTATCACTGAAACTGGAAAAGCCAGAGGAAGAAGAACACAACAGAGAAAGCCAAGCGAGGAGTGTACGGACATTGTGGCGAGTACCAGCGTACTTCTTGCCAGGATTTCCAAGGCCAAGGATTAGCCATGGTTCCTTATTCTTGGGCTTCACGGCCTCCGAGCTCATTGTACCTGTGGTTATTGAATTTGAAGCCACGATGGCCGAAGAATTCTTATTACAAAACAGAGACATTACACAACAAGAAGCGGGGAATGAAACTAAAGGCTTTGAAAAGCGGAAGCATCGATTCAAGTTGGGGAAACTAGATGATGATAACGAAGCACAAAGGTTCATGCTTCTTGGTTGAAAGGTTAGATTTCGATGCAAGCGAAAGGCACAGAAGCCCTAGGGAAAAAGTAACAAGAACTTCGAAATTGGACGAAGAACTTGCGCTTTTGAAATTTTTTTTATATTTTTTAAAAAATAAAAATAAAAAAATGACCGCAGCAAAAGGCACGTGTTAGCCGCCGTTGCCGGGGATCGAACCCGGGTCGCCCGCGTGACAGGCGGGAATACTCACCACTATACTACAACGACAAGTTGACAGTTCCTTGCAAAATGACATAAAATACCATTTGATCATTCTATCATGACCAATCAAAAAAATCCATCTCAATATCAACCTATTGGATGGAAGGCCCTTATATTTACAAACCTTATTCAACTTGTAAAACTTCTTGATATGAGACTCATTATAATGTTACCATGTTAAGAGACAACATTTTAGTAATTTCATTTTATAATATTTCACTTGACCTCTTATTAGTCAAAATTTTATATGAATAGTTCTTTTTGTGACGTATGTCTTTCAATAAAAATATCAATGTCATGAGCACAAGTCTAAAAAGAGAGCATATCCTAAAAACTAGCTTATTATGTAAAAGAAAAGCACACATATATAAACCTCACTCAACTTATAAGGCTAGTTGACAAAGGACTTATTACATACACTTCATGAAATCCGATTCCATTGCCCTTCTTTTCATGTTACCCCCTTCCTCCATTGGATTCTATTTTCATAAAAAAACCCTTCCATGTTCCGACGTACCAAATGGGGAGTGATACTATTAGTATAGCAACTTATACATTATAAAATTTTCAACCTACTTATACATATATATATTATAATTTTATGATGAATCGATGATGTTTTATAAAAAATGAGTATGCACTATTAGTTTATTATCAGTACGCTATTTATTATTGTAATTATTACTTTTTAAATGATAAATTTTCTCTTTCAAGTTTAAATTTAAATAATTTTAAAAAGATGTAAACCCCACAAGTGTATAAAATTGAATGCCAGTTTTATAGTATATGGATAAGTGATAGAAAAATAATATATTAATATATCAATATATATTATAAAGAATATTATTTATAAGTGATAAATGGGGCGATTCACTTACTTCTTGCAATTTTTTTTTAAAATCAAATATAAATCTAAAGTTGATGTAGCTATAAATTGGATGATGACATCTATCAATTTTGGTTTTCCTTTATAAAACTATTAAATTTGGTTTTTCATTTGAACAAATTGCTCCGCAAATCAGGCCTTAATTACTTTAAAGTATATATAAGATTCATATATGAAAAATTCATATAAGTAAATAATGGCATGATATGTTGTACAAGGCATTATAGTAACTGGTAATTTTTTATTTTTAAAACAATAAAAATTACACTGTGTTTTAGCCCTCCTATCAAATTAAAAAAAAAAAAACATTAAAAAGGCCGAAAAACTTATTTAAGCCAGAGAACACATGGAGCAATTCAATTTATTTGACTTCTCATTTAATTTTTCAACAACCACCGGAAAATTATATTTTTTGAACATTGGCAAAAGTACTTCCTGGCAAGGTATTGAAAGTAAGATTGATTATTGAACTAATGAAAACACTAATTTAACAATTAATAGTTAAAACTATAATCAAACCATAATTAAACTAATTATAAATAAAGCATTTTATGTAATCAGTTAAAACATTTATTTAACAATTTATAGGTTCAATTGAGTTTCCATGCCATGTTTTTTTGGAGACATTTTAGATGTTCTTTTTAATGCCTTTTCAAATCCAAAAAACTTCGATTTCTATGAGCATTCCAAAAGTACTTTCTAAAATACAAATGTTGAACCCAAACCAAACCAAACCTTATATGCTTCCTTGCATCATCCTATTATACTGACTAGTAGAAATAAACATTAACAATCTTATCTTCATTCCCTAAAAATATTTAACACCCCTTTGAGAAATAATGACTAAAATTAGTTGTACATCCACTAAGGTGCACATGGAAGATTAGTAATTTTTTCATCAATCAGGAATCTAGAATGTTCTTCCTAACAATGAAGCAAACTTGCACGACACCAATAAGGAAATACAGCTGGAATAGAACATTACAGAAAAAGAACAGTACTGCACTTAATCACTGCTAATATCAGTTTGATTACATATATCAGTAACCCCAGGTCAGCTTAGTCTGATCATACTAGATGACAACAACGATGACGATGATGACAACAAGCAGCTTTATCCTAATAGATGAGGACGGCTATATGAATTGCATGACATTATTGTGATCTATCATCAACCTAGAATATTAGATGAATACACAAATAATAGCCGAAAACAAAAAGAGATAATGCAGGGGGAAGAAAGGAAAATCAAAGATACGAAGAGCAATTTTTTACAGGGAGAAGAGATGCCAAAACTTCCTTGATCCTCTTTTCCCAAACCTAGCCAATATAGAGCTACTATTGTCTGAACCTTAAGGTTCTGTTTGGTTATTAGAAACGAATGAAATGGAATGAATTAAAAAAAATCAACACAAAAATAAATTAAATCATCCTTTCTCCTCATAATAAACATGATAAAACTCATTAATATATGTTACAAATGTGAGAATCACCATCTCCTCCAAAAATCTCATCAATCATGATTCTCAACTCTATGAATTAAATTAATCCTCTCTTTTATGAATGTGGTTCACTATTCCTTTTGATTATTTTATTTTTCACCTTTATTTTTTCAATCTATTCCATTCCATTCTTTTTTAATAACCAATGGGACCTAATGGTTTGTGGCACCACCTGTCCAGATATGAGCCCACTAATGCTAAATCTTTCTGATCTAGGGTAGATTCCAATTATCCATATTCCATTAGTTTGCCTCAGATGCCTCACCCTCATCAGCCTTTGAAAGTTCCCAGTCATCAAGAAAAGTTCCTTCACAATCTTTGGAAGTTCTATAGCCTGTATCAAAGGGGCATGTTAGTTGCTTGAAATAAATATAAGTGAAAATGTCATCCTAATTAGTGAAAGTGTCTTGAGGAAAAATTAAAAAAGGAAGGAAGAAAGAAGAAAGAAAAAGCAAGACATAAGGGTTCTAATTAGTTGGTGTGTAACAAAAGTTCTTTCGGTTGTCAAGACCTTCTCCAACCCCCCAGCTGATTGGATGAGCACTCCACAACAGAATTATGCCCCATTTTGAATGACACGATGGAATTTTCCTTTTATAATATTTTCCCTCTTATAATCCAAAAGGCAAAATTTATTCAAAAAAAAAAAAAATCTAAAAGGCAAAAATATGCAAGGCATCATGCTGGAGACTTCAGATTTTTACATGGATCGCACAGGTACAAATGTAAGCATTTCTTCATGCTTATTAACAAGAAACGTTCCTGAATAAGAATGTTGCTAAGGATGACAATAGTTGAATTTTCTTAATTCAGTTGTGTAGCAAAAATAGGAAGGGAAATATTTCTCCATATGCATACAGAAATGTTTTCCTCTGCAAAGAACAATTGACAAGAAAACTCTAACACACTTCATTGCATTATCATGTAGAATGAAACCTATCTCTTATACGTGCAGAATATCCGATACTCAATTAGTAGAAATATAAGTTAACAATGTTACCTCCATTCCCTCTGAGGAATAACAACTAAAATGAGTTGGAAACCCACTGCAGCGGATATGGAAGATCAGAAATTTTTTCTCCAATCAGAAGGGATTCCTCTGAACCATGACTGCAGTGAAACAAAATGGTTAGAGTCAGTGAAATCCATCTAATAAATTTGATAATTTTACTTGAGATACTCAAAGCCGACACTCGATAGATACATGTGAAAACCAGAATATGCAATCCAATTGTATAAAAGAAGGCAAAGGTTCAAGCATCTGCAAGATCATTATTTATCAACAAATAATGCAATGCTAATAATATTTCACCCAGGAAAGAGAGAAAGAGTTATTGATACATTAATGTATCCAAGACACAGTCCCAGGATCCAAACACAATTGATGGCAATATGAAAACAATTTTAATGCATGTGTTTGATGTTAGATTGTGCAATTATAATACACAGAAGAACATTTTTGAATGAGCCAACACTGATGCTGAATAGTTAAACATGTCCACCGGAAATAAGACACAATGAAGACCACATAAGATGGAGCAAAAATAGAAGCATGAGTAAAGTTTACCTTAGACACCTCACCGGCTCACCCCTATGACCTATCATCGTCTGAAAGTTCTTGGTCATCAAGAGAAGTTCCTTCACGATCTTTGGAAGCCCCATAACCTGCATCAGAAGGGCTATGTAAGGTGCTTTAAATGAATGCTCAAGTGATGCCTCAAATCACCTTAGAGAGCAGTTAGAATAAAAATGAAACGGACATTAATCGAAGATAGCACCTTGCCCTTTTGGGAAAGAGACTAGAGATAGCAAATTTTTTTCATTCATCTGTACAAAATTGAGAAAGCATAGAAAATTTTTGATGTATTTTGATCCAGTTCTTCAAAGCGGATAAGCACACAATACTTTCATCCTTAAATGTTACGGATTAAAAAAAGAAAAGAAAAAAAGGATAAGAGTCCTGTTTATTGAGTGGTAAGGTATGCAAATCGTGTAGTATTTCAGTCCTACATTACTGTGTGCTTTCCAGAGAAATATAGAAGTAGCATGGCATATATTTTCACCAAAAATCTCTGCAAGTGCACAAGCCATTTTTGAAGTGATGAAATCTGTTCACATCCCTGACAATGAACTCTCTCTCTACAATATCACTAATCAGTTTGAAGGCCTCATGACAATCACTGCACATTCTCAAGTTCTTCATTATTCTGATTATGGCTCCTTTAGGAGTGTTGATTAAGCCAAAAGCCAAGGCTAGTCTCTCACTGTGCAAACTCACAATTTGCTCTTTGGCCTCTTCTTCCACATCAACAAACACCAACCCTTTTGTCTCCCCTACATATCCTCTTTCCTTCATTCTCTCTTCCAATTCCCTAAGAAAACTCAGTATCTCACTCCCTTGAACACAATTAGAAACATCTCCAGCATAAAACAAGTATGTTGATTCCTTTATCTCAATCCAACTGCACCCAGGTTCCTTTCTAATCCCAGTATGTTTCATCCTAGATCTTAGAGTATAAGCATTTTCCCAATCCCCAGCTAGTACATATGTATTGGACAAAGTAACATAAGCCCCTGCTGATTGTGTGCTGGACTCTATTAACCTTTTGCTGGCTTCAAGGGCAATGTCTACCCTTCCATGAATCCTGCCAGCCGAAAGAAGGGTACCCCACAACATAGCCTCATCCTCGCTGTTTTCAACTTTGACAGATTTGGCCAATTGGAAGGCTTCTTCAACACGGCCAACTCGACCTAACATATCCACAACACATGTATAATGCTTAGGATCAGGCTTCAGTCCATATTTGCTATTCATGGAGTTTAGCAGCTCAACCCCTTTATCTACTAGACCTGAATGGCTGCAAGCAAATAAAACTCCAACAAAGGTCACTCCATTGGCTTTGATTCCTCTATCAATCATTTCTTGAAAGAGTTGCAGAGATAGTGTCCCAACTCCATACTTCGCAGCACCCACAATCATTGAAGTGTAGGGAATTACTAAGGGATTTTGGATTCTCCTGAAGACTATTTCAGAGTAATTAACACAACCACACTTGGCATACATGTCCACAAGTGCACTTGCAATAACATCATTTGTATCATGTCCAAGACGGATCACAACCCCATGAGTGATTTTCCCACAACCAAGACTGCCCAGACTCGCACAAGCATTGATTACACTGGATAACATGAAGTGATTTGGACTGCCCAATCTCAAATTATTGTATTCCTTAGTCAGTTGAAGGGCATAGTGTCCAAGTGCATTCTGAGAATATGCTGTGATCATTGAAGTCCACGAAACGATATTCCTGTGATGCATTGAGTCAAAAATAATCCTTGCTTGATCTACTTTATTGCACTTCCCATACATATCAATAAGGGAAGAACACACAACAAGATTAGAGCCAAAACCCATGACTAGAATAAGAGAATGAATACTTCTACCCACCCTGAGATTAGCTAAGAGTGAGCAAGCATTGATCACAGTGGCAAAAGTAAAGTCATTGGGCAGAATAGAGCTTTCTTTCATTTTCTGAAAGAGCCAAAGCACCGATTCAGGTCTAGCCTCACCTGTGTAACCGGCCATAAGTGAGGTCCAGGACACGACATTTGGTTCAGGCATCTCATCAAACAGTTTACGTGCGAAGTCAATTCTGACCAGCCTAACATAGGAGTTTAGGAGATGGTTGGCGGTGAAGGTGTCATCTAGGAATCCGGATTTGATAACATAGGAATGGGTCAAGGTTGCAGAGGTGAAATCCTTAGAATTTTGGAGGTTCCTAATGAGATTGGATTTGGTATGAAAAAGTGAATATCTTTGTTGGTGGGAAATATATGAAAGAAAGAGATTTATTAGGATACCCTGATTCAAGGAATGCTTCATTTTACACCTACAAGTGTTTTGGTTCGGAAGTACCACTTAAAAATGAGATAGGGAACCATATTCAGTTATTTACGATCCAATAAACCATAAATTGTTTTCCTTGGACGCTGTTTTCAAGGTATACAGAAGAGAGAAGACATCCTGGTCATTGATTGAGCGATACCAATGGAAGTGCTTCAATGGAATTGGTGGGAAAATTTTTTCCATTCAGGATTGCAAGGTTGCCTCTCATAGATGAAGTAAGCCATGGAATTACACCTAGAGGCTAGATCACCCAAATTTCATCAGTCTTCTTCCAGGCACAGCCATCAAAATGTGCTTGTTTTATTTTCACCATGTCCCTCTAAATGAAAATAGGGAAAATGACAATAAAATACCTCTGAAACAAACAATCTCAGCTCTGAAAGTCAGAATTTCCTTTGATCACAACCATCAAAATCTCCAAAAATCCTCGAAGGAATCAAAGTTCAAACAATGGAGTGAACAAAATCTTCGTCCCCCCTCCTTTTCCATTACAGTTTAAGTTCTTGAGTCTCAAAGCACCAAGACAGGAAAGGGTTTTCATCGGAAAGTTCTCCGCAATGGTGAACGCGGCAGCAGCGTAGAAGAAGACGGTGGCGAATCTCCAGTTCAAGGTGTGTAAGTCGGACGACACGGACTTGTTCTTGCCGCTAGTGAGACATTGCAGGTCACCGGTAATTTGTTAAAATACAAAATGACAAACAAGCTCTTAAAATTTAAAAAATAATTATCGCATCTCGTAATATTTATTTATTATTTGCCGATTAATTTGGAGCAACTTTATATTCTCTCATGAAAATATGAGTTTAGTTTAGAGGAGTTTTTTTTTTTTTTTGCCAGTTGGTTAAAGGAGTTAGCTCCAGTAATTTCTTACATGCATCTTGTAAAAAATTTAATTTAAATAAAAACTAGTTTGTTTTAACTCGAATAATTTTTTTTTTTCCAGACTCAAATCATTTAGGCTATGAACCAAGTGGCTTAATTCATATGGGACCCAAGTGGGTTAATTCATATGAGTTAAAGTTGGCCTACTTAACTCATACTTTTAAAAGTTAAAATTTATGTACTTAGTCATACATATTTAATATATTTATATTCAATTAAATCATGATAATTGAATCTTAACATGTCAATTAAATTCATAACAAAAATTTATTATAGAATAAATAATTTATAAAAGATTTACATGTTTTTTTTAATGCTAAGCCATGGAAAAACCGTGCAAGGAGACCAAAATTAAGTCATGTCTAAAATTATAAAGTTAATACAATTGGTGATGGAGTGTCTAAAGCCATAATGTTGGAGTTATCCCTGAATGTTTGATTAGCAAGCAAGTTGGCGTATCCATTTGCTTTTCTTTAAATGCGATCAAAAGTGATCTCCTATAGTGAGATATCTGATTTTGTTGATATATTCTGAGAGAGTGTGTCTTCAAAGTAGTTATGTTTGATAAGAAATAAAGCTTCTATAAAATCAGAGTAGACATTGATTTTAGAGAGCTTAACATTCCAACAAAGATTAAGATCTTTTAAGATCTCCACAAATTCAACAATTGTGTTAGGATGGCAGCCAAGATTCTTTAATCCAATTACCCTTATCATCCCTAATAATGCCTCTACAAGCAGCAACGCCATTGATGTTGATAGAGCTGTCAATGTTGAGTCTGACCTGTAACATCGTGGAAGTTAAAGATCATATTAAGTAAAGTAAAAGAGAATAATTGAGTTAATTAATGTGGTGTTTGCCCAGAGAGGTCTAATAAGTGCGTTTGGTTGTGATTTTAGCCCTAAATTCAGGTCCAAAGTGAAGTCTGGTTACCTAAACATCAAATAAGGAGAAGATATGAAGGAAGATTTTGTGCCATACATTGCGACGTGCATCACATCAATTGCAGCACATTAATGGTAATCAATGATAGAGAGACCTCTCTATGTAGCGCATGGCCAATTTTTTTGATAAGTGATTCAAGACTCAATTTGAAAATTAAAAGAGAGAAAGGGAGGAAACGAAGAGCACACCTTTTGCTCTGCTAGGTTTGAGTTTGAGGATCCTTAGAGATGTTTTGGAGCCTCCAAACACTAAGAGTAAGTTTCTTATGCCTTCTTCCTTCTTTCTTATCCATTTTCATGAGGGTTTGAATTAGGGTTTAAGTTAGGGAAGTGATTTTTGGTCCATATAGACTGTGGGTCAGAACCCATTGACTTAAATAGAGTTAATGGGAGTTGTTTAGGTTATTTAAATATAGCATTAATGGTTTTATAAGTTATTGGTTGGTAAATGCCATTAATATCCAAAAATAGGCATAAATGAGGTGGCTAGAGTTGTTTTAAAGCCATTAATGGTGGTTTAATGACTCATTAATGACAATGTGAATTGAGAGAACTTAGTAGACTCAATGGGTATGTTTGATAAAGAGAGATTGTGATTTTGGATGAATTGGAATGATGAGATAAAGTGTTAAAATTTATCCAAATGAGGATATTGATGATTATCCTTGTGGTTAAATTGTAGATTAACTAAATTTGGCACCATTCAAGCTAATTGGAAGTTTGAAAGTGTTTGTATTTTAAGAGGTAAACCTTTGATTTTTTAAAGGTTTAAAATAATTGGGAGAAAATTTAGTTTGTATAATTACTTGTTAATTGATTATAACTTGAAAGAATTTGTTTACAAAATCGCGATAAAGATTTACTTGTGGATTGATGCAAATTTAGTAACGTGGTGAATTAAGTGTTATGCAAGTATGTATGGATTTATAGGAATGATATGTGTGTGTATATAGTGATGTTATTGTATAAGCAAGTGTTTATAAAATAAAAAACATGAGATTTTGTTCATATTGAGATGTGGAGTATATGAAGATGAAAATAAGTTGCATGCTAGTAATAAAAAGGAATATGCTTGCTAAGTTTTGATTTTTGTGCATGGCATGATCACTATGACGGGAGTTCGCTTACGGAGAGGAGTAGTATTAAATTCACGTGGTAATGGTGACTTACCATTAAAATCAAAAGTCAGCTAGCTGCCGATCGTTAGAATTAAGAGGTAGTCCTTGTCCCATGATTTATTGGAGATTGTCTTACTTATTTTTCGAGAGACTCGAACCTAATTAGTTTTCACTAATTCATGAGGAGGCTAGATCAGGGTATGGCACTCCATAGTTGTTAGTATTGAGAGAAACTGGGGACCATAAGTGAGTGAGGTAGCCTTGGCTAGTTCCTCACAAGTGGAAGACTTGGTTAGTATGAATTTATAGACATATTAGTCACCGGTTTCATGTCAGAGGTATCAAGAGGGCATAAGGTTTGCATTGATCATGCATTTCTATTCCCAACCACATGATTGTTATTATTATGATTCGGTGTAAGATTTGATAGAGGCACATGGTTATTATTATTATGACCTCATATGTGTATTATGGTTTGTGCATGTTATGAGATGCTATGTATTCATGACCGGTCACATGATTATTAGTATTGTGGTTGTGGCAACCTTTGAAAATCTTGCTAAATTTGTGAAAAGATAATTATTACCATTTGCATCTATAATTAATTGATATGCAATTATATAGGCTAGATTGACCTTAGTAATTGAGTAATTATACTCATCCCTCATTTTTCAATATTATAGAGACTAGCTCATCGGATCAAGATTAGGGGAAATGGCTTAATGCAAAGGATTCTATGTAATCCTAACTGTAGGCCTTTTGTAGTATTATAATTATGTATATTTTAATTTATAATTAACAACTAGGATATCATGTGATTTATTTTGACTATTTGCACTATTATTGAAAATAATTTAAAAATGTATTTGTACCTTGAGATGTTTGTGGTATGATGATAACATGTATATGGGGCCCAAATACTAATGCAAGTAGGGAAAAGTGTTAATGAATTAATATTATGGTTTATATGATAAATTATGAGAAATTGGATCCCCCTATGTTTTTGTGATCAAGGGGTTAAGTGTTGAAAATGTGATTTATGTATGATCGTTTGGTTATGGTGTGTTGCATGAGTCCTTTATAGTCCATTGAGTGTGGTCTAAGGATTGGTGTAGGCTTTTGGCACTTGTGTTGCGAAACAGACACCTTAGTTGTGTATTATGGTAAAAAAGGAGTGAATTTAGAAATGTGTGTCCATCTTTTAATTGAAAAATAATTTAATTGTGAAATTAATGTCATTAATTAGAGTTAGGAGAAAGCTCTCTGTAGATACCTAGATCATCTCGATTTGACATCAGACAAAGAAATGGGGCACATTGAAAGTTTGCCTTTGGGGTTGTCATGTGACAACTCTACTGCCATCAAATTTTGTGCAATGCACCATGGCACATGGCACAGAAAGTAACGTGCCACGATGCATGTAACATGAGCTGCGACGCGCCTATGCTGTTTTATTGAAGACAATGTTTATTTTTTTTCAATTGTTTTGCAAATACCTTATTATAAAAGATATCCTATGCTTTCGTTTACGTTTTTAACTCTGATGTGTGAATAATGGAATTATATTGATGTGTTTTGAATTGTGAAAACTTGGGATCCCTAATTTTAAAATTTTCATAAATTTGTAATTTTTATGATTATCTTGAACTTGGAGTTAAGGGTAGACTAGCAAGGGTAACCTTACTTATTTACCTGAAAAACTTACATGACCCACCCAGGTTCAAGAGGGCTTCTTTTAGCTTCATATCTAGTATTGTTTTTGCTCATATGGTTGATTCTAGCTTGAAATTGTAGGTTGTTAATAATTTATTGAGTGCATAAAAACACAATGTCTTTGTCTTGGGTATTATCTTTTGAGTAGATCTTGTTGCATTTTTCCTTCCATATATTATAGTAGGCAAGTGTGAAGAGGCTCTACCAATTCGTTCTTCTCTTGCTCAAGCTACTTGCTTGATCTATAGTGTTCCAAATTATTCAATCTTGCACAAAAAGAGAGAAGAAAGTATTAAGTTGGTAGGATTAACTATTTTTTTTTTGAAACATCAAAAGCTTCCTTACAATCTCGTAAGATATGGATAGAAGAGTTACAACTAAGTGGATAAGTACGCTGTTAGGATGTATTTCCATTATTATGAGTATAGTTGGTTTGTAAATGTTCCCATGCAGCTTTCTATATCTTCAACTAGATTTTAGAGTGATTTTAGTCCTTCTAAATCTCCATAGCTTTATAGGCAGACTTGATAGAAGAATTATCATTAGAAGAAGGCCTCTAATAAAACAGATCATTGTCTCCCTGTGGGTTAGGAGATTGCACAAGCGCAATATGTTTGCTCACATAAGAGTTGAGATACCATCTTAGTATGATCAAAGTTCCACCCTCCAGCGATTGTGCTAACGTCGGAAACTCTTGTATGGAGAATAGAATCAACATTGGTAAAAGCATATCATGCCAAAATGATATTGGATCTCCTTTGCTAACTTTCTAACCAACATTAAACATGAATTTTTCCTAGACTTTGCTTATGATATTCCAAATATAAGAGCATAAGCTTTGTTTTTGGACCATAGGTATTGTAGGTTTATTGCATTTATATTTTTCACATAAGATCCGCACCTAAAGGCACTTCAGTTTAGTTATGAGCCCTAACAAAGCTTCATGATGAGAGAAATATTTTGTTTTTTTTAGCTTTTTGATGCTAAGCCCCCCACCCTTT